GTTCGATTGGCGGTGTGCGGTCGGGCATTGTCATGGTGAAAACGCACTCCTTTCGTCAGCATTCCTCTTCTCTTGTTCTGAATGGCAAGTCTAAGTTTTTTCAAGGTCTCACAGTACCGGTCAGCATTGATTGTTGTCCCGCGAGGCATAAACTCGCACAACAATACGCCCTTTCGATCCCAAAAAACGCTAGCCATGATTTTCCAGGCAGACAGGATTTGTTTGAACTTCTTTGCTCTTGGTGAAGAAGAGTGCTTCCACTGCTTCGATGGCTCCCTTGTTACCGGTGTGGTGTAGTGTACCCAGGTCTCGTCACCAGTAACAATAGAGTCCAGAAATTCCTCTTCGGTTGTTCCGTGAAAAGCGAGAAATTCTTGGGCCGCTTCAACCCGCTGCCGCCGGTGGTCTGCAGTGAGCATTCTTGGTACCCATCTTGCGCAGACCTTTGAATAGCCTAAATGTTCAGTCAAAATCTTGTCAATTGTGGTTTTGCTGACCTCCGGAATCTTTGTGCACAGCTCCCGAACTGTAATCCGTCGATCTTCAAGCATTGCCGCTTCGACTTTGGCAATCGTTTAGTCGGAAACCGATGGCCGCCCTGCACGGGCTTCGTCGTGGACGTCTGTTCGGCCATTTTTAAAGTCCCTGACCCATCTGCGCACCATCCCGCAGCTCATACAGTCTTCTCCATACACTCGACAAAGTTCTTCGTGAATTTCCTTCGCCGATTTCTTCTTAGCGGCCAGGAAACGAATAACAGACCGCAACTCGCAGCTGGCGGGAGACGCAAGGGGAAGCTCCATCGCTGACGGCTGCTGAGCCAAGAGTAAACGTCGCAGCTGGCTGTGCATAGAAACGATCCTAGCGCCAGCGGCAGCCCGTGGAAGTTATTTTACGGACATGATACTTTTTGCCAATATTTTCATATTTATATTTCTATTTTTTTTTCAGAGATTAAACCCCTCTTCTCAACGTTTCTTTTTTTTTCTTAAATTGTATGCATTTTGAACACTCTGTGGAATATTCATCGCCAGACGCTGGGGATTGGAGAAACGGATATCGCATAAGCTGGAAGCGAGAATTAATTTTGCATCAATCAATTTGTCGTGTCAGCTCACCGCAGGTGCATCAGGCGCCCCCAGTCTATTAAAGCAAATAAGCTGCTTGATACCAGCTGCATACTGAATGATTCAATAAATTGTATGTATCTAATAGATCATAGAAAAAGCACATAACGTATGCGACATTAGTTTTGAGAGAAAGTTTGTCCTGAAATTTCTACTCGATTTTGATGTCAGTAAATTAAGTAAACAAACTTTTGTTCCCAAAGGCAACTTGATATTATTTTGTGTTCAAAGCCAATGTATTCTGTGCCAAAATTTTTAGGACATTCGTTATGACACAGAAGTCTGTGCATATGAGAGGGCCTTGCCTGCGATGTTGCCGGATTGGCTTCGCAATCAAAAAAATGATAACTCGAAATTATAAATTTGTCAATAAAACAGAACTTTGAAAGAAATTAAAAACTCACGGAAGCAAGACAGTAATAAAACAAAAGGCGACTCCTATTAATTATAAAACATATCTTGAAAATGTCACAAGTTAATAAAAAAAATTACGAGTATGGTAGGGACATTTCTTGTTGTGATGTTATTTATCTTTTAATATGGTTTTTGTGATTTTTTGTTTTTCGTTACCGCTTAGAATTGTTTTTTGTTCTATTACTGTTTGCTATTTTTGTTTTTAACCATGATTCAAAATTGCTTTTTATTTTACTACTATTTATTATTCTTTGTTTTCTATCATCATTCAGAACTCTTTTCTTCAACTGCTGTTTCTTATTTTTTGCTTTTAGCGATGATTTAAAATTGCTTTTCATTTCACTGTTACTGTTCGTTATTTTCTATTTATTATAAGCATTTAGAATTGTTTTTTAGTTACTATTCTTATATTTTGTTTTATCACTAGTTTCAACCGCTTTTTGCTTTGTTACTGATGTTTATTTCAGTCTTTTGCTATTTTGTTTCATGAACTAACATATGTTGGTAAGTTTCCCAGGTTTCATATATGTGGAGCCCAATCCGGCAACACCGCGCTAAAGTCCCTGTCATATAGATGGCGGTAAAAGTACAGGGTCCGGCAATGAAGTATGGTGTTTTTGCAACGACTATTACATGCAGCACTGTCGAGCCAATGTTTTCACGATGATTGATATCTACTCGTTCCGCGATGCCATTTTAGTAGCCATGAGCCGTGATCTGTGGCACATCGCGTGTTTATTTACAACACTTTTATTGAAACTGGTCGTTCTGTTGTGTTCACACAGCGACGATTTCGAAACCATTTTAACGTTGGTCGGCATGGTCGCGTTCCAAGACGCGATACCATTTTGAAGTGGGTGAATAAATTTCAAACAACCGGATCGTTGAGACCTGGTACTGCAAGGGGAAGAGATCGAACAGTGCGAACTCCGGAAAACATTGAAAGAGTGCAACAAGCGGTGGATACTAGCCCTCACCGTTCAGCGGTACGTCACGCTCGCGCTCTTAGAATGTCAGATCGTTCAGTTCGCAGAATCTTGCATTTGGACCTCCATTACCATCCGTATAAAATTATGGTTGTGCAGAAGCTGCTCCAAAATGACTTTGTGAGACGACACAGGTTCGCAGAAAGGATGCTGGAATTGCATCGTTTTGTTCATGAGTGACGAGGCCCATTTTCATTTATCGGGCAGCAAACAAAACTTCCGATACTGGGCACACGAAAGCCCACGAGAACTGCATGAACAATCTCTGCACTCTGAGAGGGTAACTGTTTGATGTGCCGTATCTCGAAATTGCATAATTGGCCCGTATTTGTTTCGTGAAAACGGACGAACAGTGTCAGTGAACTCAGATCGTTATTGCGCCATGTTGCGTGATTATTTTCTGCCCGAACTAAGAAGACGACGCACTGACATCAATACAGTTTGGTTCCAACAAGATGGGGCGACTTGCCATACATCAAGAGCTGCAATGGGCTTTTTAAGCGGACATTTTTCTGGACGCCTTATTTCGTTGCATGGAAATGTGGAATGGCCACCTCGGTCACCAGACCTTTCATGTTGTGACTTTTTATGGGGCTATTTAAAATCCAAAGTTTACATAGACAAACCGCAAACTCTTGAGGCTCTTTCGGAACTCATAACACGCGAAATTGAAAGGATTCCTCGTGCCATGCCAGAAAGGAGTATGGATGATTTTGCAATCCGTCTCCAAGAATGCATCGACAAGAATGGACGCCACCTAACTGATGTAATTTTTCGCACCTGACTATGTTATGTTACTTAAATGGCATCATTCCACTAATGTATTAAAATAATAAATTTTGATGTATGTTTAAAAATGAAAGTATGTAATTTTTTTCAAAAACACCATACTTCATTGCCGGACCCTGTACTTGCTAAGAATACAGTATTGTAACAACAAATTTTTGCGAAAAGCGTGTTTCATCCATACATTTTGCGTATAAAATGATTTGTCAAATTACCCTCTATAAGCTTCAGGGGTAAAAGCAATGATGTCGGAAATTCTCAAAGACGCAACAGTCATTTTCATTGAAGCACATTTCTGAAATTCGCAAGAATATCTACACTTTACTTCGACGATTACCCAAAAGTGGAAATGTGCACTTGTTCAAAGCTCAAAATGTTAGCTGGGAAACCATTTATAGAGCAGTAAGAGACTGTGGGATGTGTGGGATGCTTTGCATCAATTTGCTAAAAATCTCGTTTTATCACGAAGCAGGTTAATACGAGGGATGTCTTTTAACTTTTGCACATAGAAACATAGCAGGCCTTTTTCTTAAATGGCGTAGCAAATCGTCATAACTGCCGATATTGGCCCGATTCTAATCCCAGAATTTATCATGAGGTTCATACACAGCAGCCACAAAAATTAAATGTTTAGGCTGGTATTTTTGGCGATCTTTCAGTTGGTCCTTTTTTCTTACCTGGAAATGTGACCGGTGAAATGTATTTGGAATTACTGGAAGACGCCATAGATCCTGCATTAACAGCCATATTGAAAATAAGAATGATCGGCGGTACATCATTGCAAACAGGTTGATGTTCCAACAGGATGTTGCCCCACCACATTACGCATTACGTGTTCGACAATATTTAGATCAGACGTTTCCAGATCGATGGATTGGTAGAAGAGGTGCCATTGAATGGCCCCCAAGATCGCCAGATTTATCACCTTTGGATTTATTTATGTGGGGTCATTTATAAAGCAAAATCTATGCTACTCAGCCAACATCATTAGAAGACCTGCGACAAAGAATTGTGAATGAGTGCCTTCAAATTACTCCTCAAATATTGCAAAATGTGCGGCAACATTTTGAGCAAAATCTTTATTATTGCATGGAGAGTCATGGTGGCCATTTTCAACATTTACTTGCCTAACGGGTCAGTTCGTTCTTCATTTTTAAATTACTTTGCTGCCAAATGTATTGATCTCCACTAATGATGATCTATTAGTTTTGTTAAAGTTTTAAATCATTAAATCTTCAAAACTACTGAACTGAAGTACATTAATTTTATATCATTATAAAGAGAATTGAAAGACCTTTAAAATAAGGTATCACTCGACCCCCCTTTCCATTTAAGACTTTGGGAGTGGTGTCACCCCCGCTTAGGGGGCTGCACGTGTTAACGTGATCTTTTTCCAAACTTGTGTCCCCCTCGAAAACAAAATCGATGGTTCTAGGCGTTTTTCAATAAAAAACTGAGCTGCCAGTAAATGCGCCTGTTTCATTTTCGATGCGTCACCCTGTACTTTACGAATATGAGCAGCAAATAAAATGCCTTATTGCAAGAAAACCGTGGATGATAGAAAAAATCGAATGCTATTTCCGGCTCTTTGGGAACGTTTTACATAAAAACCACCTCGTTTTGTCCATGTCACAAACAATTATTTTAATTTTGATCACCAGTGATAATCTATTTTCCTTTTGTTACAGTGCAGTCTAGAGAAGACGACGCTGGGCCGATGCTTCAAGTCGCGCCACAGCAACGAATCGCAATGCCCGATGCTCACAAACACGAAATCCTCCAAGCAGTCCAGCAAGCAACAAAAGTCTAACTTGCTGACGCAGCTCAAGTCTTCTCCGAGCACCACCAGCAACCAAAAGAAGCTTAGATTCCAGCTTGCCAAGGTAAAACAGTTATATAAGGTAAAAACACACTTCGTAATGTAATGTTCTTTCAAACTATCTATTTGGTCTTAGAAAATCAAGTCAAAGCTACACGAATATGTCATTATACCTCCAACGTAACCGTGAATAAAAAATCGCGCCAAGTAAATTCCCAAACCAGGCCGTTATCACAAGTTAGTGCTTCTGACAAAAAAGTTAGCCACGAACATGTATAGGGTTGTCCAATAGGGACGCAGGAAAGTAAACGTCAATTTGACAAAGACGCCATCTTTGTTTTCTGTCACCGACATGTCATTTTGTTAGTTGAATGTTTACCATTGATCACTATGGAGTCGTATTCGATTGAAGACCGCATTAAAGTTATTCAAGAGCACTACAAAAATGGTGCAAAAATAAAAAACACGTTTCGCGCGGTTCGTGAACATTTTGGTCGCAACAACCGCCCAAACGAAACAACCATCGGTCGTCTGGTGCGTAAATTCGAGGCAACAGGTTCTGTGGCAAATCTGCCAGGCTCTGGCCGGCCAAGGAGCGTTCGCACACCGGAAAATATTGCTGTTGTGAAGGAGAGTGTGAGAGACGATCCGAAACAATCAACAACGCGTCGATCCCAAGAATTGGGCATTTCGAGAACCAGTTTGCTCCGCATTCTCCACAAGGATTTGAATGTACACGCCTACAAGATCCAATTGACGCAAGAGCTGCGTCGGGCCGACCATTTTTCGCGCCGAACGTTCTCAGATTGGCTCCTTGAACACCGCCAAATTGATGCCAATTTTTCATCAAAAATCATGTTCAGCGACGAAGCGCATTTCACTTTGAATGGGACGGTAAACAAGCAAAACTGCCGCATCTGGGCGAACGAAAATCCCCGTGAGTATCAAGAGCAGCCGATGCATCCTCAAAAAGTGACTGTGCGCTGTGCATTGTGGTCAAAAGGCATCATCGGACTTTACTTATTCGAAAATGCGGCCGGCGACGCCGTTACCGTCAATTCTGAGCGATATCACGTGATGATAGAGGACTATTTTTGCCGCAACTTGAAGGAATGGATATGGACGGTGTTTATTTCCAACAAGACGGTGCAACATGCCACACAACCAACGTCGATATCCATCGATTGCAGTCCTTCTTCGGTGGCCACCAAGATCGTGCGATTTGACTCCCTTGGACTTCTTTTTATGGGGATATTTGAAAAGCAAAGTCTGCGTCAACAAACCAGCCACCCTCCAAGAACTCAAAAACAACATCATTGCCGAGATAAATGCCATAGAACCGACCATGTTGCAAAATGTCATTGCAAATTTCGACCATCGCGTGGACGTCTGTAAATCCAGTCGTGGTGAACATTTGAGCGATATTATTTTTCATACATAAATGGTATAAATGAACCTTCAAAATAAAGTACCCAACTTGATTTGAATATCAATCTTTCTTGTTTTAATATGCGTTTACTTTCCTGCATCCGTTTTGGACAACCCATTATGCTTTCTTTTTAAATTGTAGGAAATTTGAGGCTGACAAAACATGATATAACTCAAAAGCAAGCACAATTTGATGCAAGTAGATGTTTGTGACATAACCTCAAAATAGAGCTCTGACACGGAGAAGTTGAAAACTATGACAATCAAGGAGGCCATAAAGGCGCCCTACAATTGTAGAGACGACTGACGATACGGGCCTAAGTGAACCCATCTAATCGCGATTCGATTTTGCCTTTTAAAACGATTTGACTCATCCAAGCGAAGACGTAAAAACTATAGTGTCACTCTACTTAACGTTATTTTTCCAAAATACCATAGATTATAGAAATAATACACGTAACGCCTTATTAGCAGCTCTTATTTATTTGTTCCAGGAACGAAAAGCAAGCACTACGTTAGGTATAATAATGAGCGCCTTCACATTTTGTTGGCTGCCGTTCTTCGTGCTGGCGCTTTTGCGGCCCTTTTTGGAAAATACTCACGCCCTAAAGACCCTCGCCACGCTCTTCCTTTGGCTGGGTTATGCAAACAGTCTGCTCAACCCCATCATCTACGCCACCCTGAACAGAGATTTCAGAAAACCGTTCCAGGTAAGAATCTCAAAAATTAATACCTACGTCTTCCTTCAAAGACTTTTCAAACGCTTTTCTAGGAACCATCTGAAACACGTTCGCCGTTATTGCATTATTAAGCGGAACGTAATTAGCTAACTGGTCAAATGTAGCATTATTTTTCATTTCTGTCGTACTCCTTTTTTTCTTTTTTTTTCTTCTACACTTAACTGTCTCATTTTATCCATTCTTGATGTACGGATATCTGTTGGAATTGAAAACACATGCTATACAACCTGGAGTTAAACAATAACACCCAATCCACAATTTTATATATGCAAAAATCATTTCCTCATATAATTTTCATTGTCTCACTTTCTAATATAGGGAGGGAACGACCGTGAGGGAATGACGGATTTGCATAAACGACATCGTAACCAACAATACATCACCTCAGATTGATTCAGCATTTTGTAAATCAGTCGTCTAAATGCAAAATCCGACAAGTCACAACATTATCTACCAAAACAAAGAAATTAATGATGATGGATCCCTCGAGCACTAAAAACTCCGGACGTAAACTCACTCCACTCTCGGAATGTCCGGGTGGAGGGTGGGCTCGAGGGAACAACATCGAAGATAAAATTTGTTTTTCGAACATTTGCGGGATCAACAGCAACATTGATGCTGTTCATCACTACCTGCAATCCAATCGTCCCGCCGTGCTTTTCTTGGCGGAGACAAAAATCTCAGAGGCTGTACCGCTTAACCATCTCAACTTCCCAAACTACGAGGTGCACTCCAATCTGAGAAAGAACGGGGGAGTTGTGGCTTTTGTCCGCAGGAGTCTTTCCTGCTCCAGGGATCTTTCTTTGGAATCAGACCGGAACGACATTCTGTGGCTTCGCCTCAACTCCAAAACATCACCCAAATTTATTTGCTGCCTTTATCGCTCTCCATCGAACCATAACTGGGATGACCTACTCGAATACCTCGCTGTCCAGATCGACTTCCTGAACATCAATCACCCCGCTTCAGAGGTAGTTCTTCTCGGTGATTTCAATGCCCATAATGAGCTTTGGTTGGGCTCAAATAAGACCGATGCAGCAGGTCGTGCAGTCGAAGCGTTCGCTCTTACTCAAGGGCTGACCCAGCTGGTGACGAGCCCTACTTTTTTCCCCCGCGTCCCGTCACACGCCAGTAGCCTGCTGGATCTCTTTCTGACCACGCATCCTGCCCCTTACAGCACTGCTGTCTTGTCTCCCCTGGGTAACTCAGATCACGGTGTTGTGGAGGTTAGGTTTCGGTCAGAAGCCGCTGTGGCAGCAGAAACTCGCACAGGCCGCAAAACTTGGCATTACGGACATGCCGACTGGGAGGGGCTCAGAGACTTCTTCTCTAGCTTTCCTTGGAGAGATGTCTGTTTCACTGACGCGGATGCGTCGACTGTCTGTTCTTCAATAACCGAAATTATCCACGTCGGAATGGAGGAATACATCCCTCACACAGTGAAAGTTCCTAAACCA